ACAAAGGGAAGAGAACAACTGGAGAAGCTGCATGCGAAGCAAAATTTCAAAGAAATAGAAGCAGTGGAAACGTGGAAATGAACGTGTTAACGGTAACGGTTACTAAGAGAAAGTAAACATGTCGTTTAAAAATTATCTGGTGAACAAGGAACAACCACTATAACAACGTAGCAACGTTTTCTCTAATTCTTCTAGCACACTATGACCAATAGGAGTACAGGAGTCCTCGAAATAAGGTACAGTAAGTACGCACACATTTTCAGGAAAGGAATTTATTCAAAGACTCGTCATAGATTGCTGGTCGTATTGTTAAGTAACTGGCTTCATTTCGGGCACAAATAAAGCCGTAGATTAGTGATGAAGCAATTACACATGACTGAACACAACACGCCTGGGGGAAAATTCGCTTGAAGGTTGCGTGCGATGGCACCTAGTTGTAGCCCGCCTGTTGACCTGTCGAAACTCGTCCGCCACTCAAACACGTGGCTGCCAGCACAAAGTGGACGATGCTGGCTGGTCTCGGCGAGAAATGGAAGATGACTTTTCGGTAAGCAAATGGCTTATGAATTTTGGGGATAAAATACTTATGGGAGCATATTACTTTATAAAAGTGAAGCTACTCTATTCGAGTGGTGCTCCACTCACGAAAATCCGACTCGATACACGAATTCCTATATCAAGATGGGTGGACGAGCGACAGTGGACCATCGACAGGAACCATTCCGACTTTGCAGAAGGCAACAGCGACATAACGTTAGTCGAATGGAAAATCATTACAACAACCTCGTGTTAACTGATCAATGAGACCGAACCCTGCTTATTACATTATGTGGAGATTAAATGAAAGTCAGTTTACGCAAGTATTTGCAGGATCTTTGGCCGACAAATTTAGGGTGTACATATTAGTTATGTTGCTACCTACTTATGTTACTATATGACAGCTTTGTTATGAGGCATCAAACTTCTTCCTAGTGTCGTTACTTACTTGATTCATCGCAGTTTTTCACTCACTTGCTTTTGTGGTGTCTCGATCTCAACGCTTATTTGACTATTATTGGGTTTAATTTTCTTTATAAAGGAAGTCCTTTTTAACTAATTCGTATGAGTATTACCAACCAACGACTGAATTCCAGTGGTTTCCATGAACTCGTCATGGAGAGTTCTTATGATTCTTAAGACACGGAAACAGTGCTGAATTTGCTATGCATCCCGCAAATAAAGAGAATATGAAGATGTTAGGCCCAAAAATGAGATTACACATAACATTGCATAAGACGTAACACTGTGCATGTGAAGTTCAAATTCTATCCAAAGATATTCTGATATGAAGATTTATCTCTTCGCGAGGTGCTCATGAACATGAAAACAAAATGAATATGTATAGCTTAATGACTCAAAAGTTAATGAGTCTATTAAAACGGTGTCTTAGTTCTTTAATCTTTAGCTGGTCACGAAGATATTTTGCACAAATCAGAGTTGGCCATGAGACAGCGATTAGCTCCAAGCCTTGTCATCATCTTTATTTCTACGGTGGAAGCTCCAGATGTCAATCACCGAGCACTACTCTACTGTCGATATATAGAGGACTGCTTCATCGTCTTTTCGACACAAGAAGAGAGGAGCAGTTGCTTTGAATTGTTAAACAGACAGTCGGAATATATAAAATTTACACGAGAAAAGCCAAACGAGAACTGGATTTCTTTCTTCAACATTCAAATAAAGCTTTCAGAAAGTGGCTTCATCACAAAATGAAATAATAAGTAAAAATAAGTAATGAAAATGTACTGGTACCCTCGGTTTCATCCTTAACATGGAAGAAGCATCTCACATTTGTTGGTTCAGTTCAGTTGTGGATTCCTCTAATCCTGAGGTCAACCTAGCTAGACCTTTCCTTAAGTCGTCACCTCACAGGATGCAATGGCCGCCCTCGTGGGTCAGAGGAAGATTTTCCACTACGCGACTAGTTTGATACCAAGACGGTGGTGGTCCCTGGCACTGATATTGGTTTGCTCTTAGCTGGGCTTCCGAATGTGAGCGTTGGACTCCTTTCCAGCTTGGAGGGGCCGCTGGGTGGATGAACCCCTGTATATCGTAGCGCTACACCCAAGGCCCTCCCGACCACGACGGGGCGCTAAACCGTTGGCAGGCTATGCCCTACGCCGTCAACTAGACCCGGTTATAGTATGACAACGATTACTGCATGTTACTATGATATTGGGATATTTTCAAAACGCTGACCCCAGGCAGAATTTGAACCTTCGATTACCCTTTCCAGGGTTCACGCGTCACCACTGCACTACCGAGGTCTATGCTCTGCGTGTCTCTCAGCTAGTTGTACCGGTCTCTGCCATCAGCAATTACCCGTCAACATGAGTGATCTGGGAGCACTAATTGGCATCAAACCCAGTCAATCTGAGGTTGTAGTTGAAATCACAATAAATAGTTCTTTAATTGACTGCATATTTTAACTTATTATTTACTGCCTACTCTTTTTAACGGCAGGGTATATATTGGATAGATTCTAAAAGATCGATAAAACTAGCTGAGAGACAGGCGAAACGAAGGACCCGCATAGTGTGGTGGTGAACGCGTTACTCCCCGGAAAGGGTAATAGCGCGTTCGTTCCCCACCGCATACACCTGCGGTCCGGAGTTTTGCAAGTATCTCAGCATCATTGAAGTTATATTTCGCAATATACCCTGCCATTAAAAAGACTAGGCAAAAAATAATAAGTTAAAATTGCCATACATCGCTTTACTAGACCGACCTTCACCTAACCTTGGCATGAACCACCAGTATGCTTCTAAATTGTTCAGTTTACACAAAGTTACTATATAGCCTTTACTCGGATAACGTCCCTACGTCCTTGTCTACTCGAGGGTGGATGACCCTAGTCAATGGTCCACAGTCACTCGCTCTCACGCTGTAGTTGGCCGTAGTTGAATGGAGTCTTCTTCAGTGAAGCACTGGTCGAACGACTTAACCTCGCATGGCGGTAATCATTCAAGCCGAGGTTGAGTGAAAGTCGGTTTAGTAAGGCATTATTTCGTTGTTTCCTATGACAGGTCAGCAAAGTCAGAATGCTAACAAGATTACAATGTTAACCATTTATTTACTGCCTGCTGTAATTTTTTACAGCACGGTATTTTGTAAAATGCGACCACAATGATGCTGAGATATTTGCAAAACTCTGAAAAGCAGGTGTCCGCTAGCGGGATTGTTTGAAAAAATCTTTAAGAGGAAAGTCGTAGAAAGTAAAGATGAGATTGAATCTGAAGACCAGCAATAAGAGTTTACACTGATGAATTGCGACTTAGCGGATAGGGGGAGCTCATCGATACACCATGTCGAAGTTGGTCGAGCTTGGAAGATTACTTGTTTCAAGCAAAAGTTACAGCAAATTTGCAAAAGTTCGAAAGAAGATCCGATAGGAAGGAACCTAGCCATCGCTGGTTTACTGCTAATGTGAAGCTTTGCTAGAAATGGTTTGATGTAACAACAACAACAACAACAACAACAAACACCATACAGAGATGATGTTGACAGATAAAATTACACGGTCCCTATAGCGTAACTATCCTTCCACATCTACCGAATGTTTAACATTAACTTCGCTTCTGGAAGTATCTACTTTTCTTAGATGAGTGTACGAGAGCTTAGAGAGCATGAACTCGGATCAATAGAACTCAGTAGAAGTTGTGAATGAATTAATTATATAAAAATCGTGATGACATCAAAAGAAGGATGCCGTTGCAGGTGGACATTTTGGAGAAAAGGAATAATGAAAACCATCTTCGTCAAAAATCATCCGAAAGTCACGCCGCTTCAATGAGTAGACGCACCAGATGGGCCAAAGATGATAAATGACAGGGGGCAGACCGGGATCTACCGCGAAAAACGAAAAACTCGGAGTGTTCGACTTTAGAAAAAGTTGAAAGACCGGAGCCATCTGAGCGGTGCGGATTCCTTGCAACCCCAAATGTGACACACTGTATGACTTCAGTACTCGTCGTGTTCTTCAACAGTTTTAGGTATATAAAATTGACTAAATTTAAAACTAAATTTGAAATTTCGACTTTTTCAAGGTGTGTAAAAGATGTCCAACCACCATCTAACAGTGCTTCTGTTTTTATAGATAAGAATGACACCGTGCTACATCGCTACCGTACTGAATAAAGTGCGCTTATGGTACAGTAGTTTACCGAACTAAAATTACCTTTAAGGCAATATTTACGCAGCTTGTTTGTTTTCTCCTTCGAAAATTTACTTCATTATGGGTATAGAGCTTCCACATTCGATGTCGAAGCTTTCATTTCAAGCATTGCCCTCAACGGTGAATATAAAGCGCAAAATTGAACGAATTGAGAAGAAAGTAAATTCGAATTCGAAATAGAATTTCTGAGCAGCTAAATGGCATTCAAAAAAGTTATCGTCTATGTACAAGATGTCCAGCCATCACCTGACAATGCAATTGCATCTGTGATCAACTTTGGGCATATTGGCGAACCGGGCTGTCTCTATCTCAGCATGAGTCATATGTAACGCATATCGGGCAAAAAGTGGTTTTCTTCCAGAACAAGGAAATCATGCAGTTTACTCCTTAGGAGCAGTCTCTACACCTCTCCATCGATACCAAAGGCAAGGAATTATCCGAGCACTAGTGTACTTGTATTTGCCTAGCAGAGAAGTGTTCCTTTTTTCAACACCTTTCTCAACTAATGGTTCTCATCAGCAGATCCGGGACACCCTCGGCACCAGCAACAATCTCTCACGATGCCTGTCGACTATACGAAGCTTATGCAAAGACGTTTTTCGGCAAACTGCATTGAATAGAGAATATCCTTTCTCCGTAGACGTCTGACTCATCTGTGGTCGAGGAGCTACATCTGAAAACAAAATACGGCAAAATATCTGTGCTTTTTCAACGAAAATAAAGTGTTTCATGCAGTCCTAAAATCTTATCTCAAACTTCTGATGTTACTAGAAAACAAGCAGAAACGTTACTCACTAGGAAAACCCTTTTCTACGGTGGATACCTTTCCGGATGGTGTACGCGACGTCGCTTCGCGTTCACGCGGAGAGATCACGCGGCGCAAGCGGTGCCGACGCCAGCTGGCAACCGGGCATTGATCGGCCGCCGGCCACTCGCCGCCCGTCGTTGGCCTCCAGGCGGCAAGCTTTTCCTCTTCCTTCATCCTTATCGAAATGTCATGTATCATAACACTCCCACTGCTGATTAGTCACTGCTATTTTCGATCTTTTCTCAGAGTCGAGGAGATAGGTAGTCGTAGTGTTACAATCTAAAAGTCGTTATTCTCCATCATAATAGATTATGTAACCATTTATTTCGCTGTGACGAGTTTTGTGCAACTAGGGCTCCCATTCTGTATTGAAATCTGCGTAAATTAGCGCTAGGTAGCAAATGTTTTCAAAGCATATGGGTCCAGGGGACGAGTGACAGCGATGCCGTCGAAAGTGCTCATTCGACCTCGCGTCCCCGAAGTCCTTCCTACTGCTAGGGTCGGGAAATTGACACCAGTCTTGCCTAGGAACAATTCAGTTTTTCTTGCAATCCAATAGGAACGCTCTACTGTAGCTGTCTTAGAACTCGAGGGAGAATCGGTTAGACCAGGTATTTAACGACATTCATGAAGAAGCCGACAATATTCGAGGAGGAGCAGGACCCACATGCGAAATGTTCGAAGGCGTTCGTGGTTGATAGAAATGGGAAGAAGCGAACCGAATGCAAGAAGCGATGGGATCGGCAGAGTTGGTGTGGAGTTAGATCAGTTAAGATAAAAAAAGGGTAAAATATGTAGGTTTGTAGGTTCACAATTCATATTTTTCATCGGATTGCCAAAATATTTTGTTCGAAGTCCTGCACGTTTTTCGATTAAGTCTCAGGTTTCGTTCGGTTAATAAACAGATTCCCAACGGTTTACCGCTTCATCGCGGCTGGGAGGTGTTCATAGGTATCGGGCTGTGATTTACATCGGGAGGTTTAGGGAAGCCCAGCTAAAAGTAAACCAATACCACGATCCGTCACCATCCTGCTATCAATTTGGTCCCATGGTGGCAAATCTCCCTCTGATCCACAAGGGTGGCGACTGCCTGCGGTGGTGACGACCTGGGGCAGACTTTGGCTTGGCTAACCTCGGAACTCCAGGAAGCCACACTAGCTAAACCAGTAATGCTCCAAAAAATAGAAATTTTGCTGCGGCCCGCACAACCACTGAAGGCGGGCCATCCAAGTGTGAACCTCCCGAAACAACTATTCACGATTACAACATCACGACTTTCTTTATTTAGTTGTTGACGTTCAGTAACAGTTTTGTAAGTGTTACTACCATCTTCGTGATTCTTAGATCGTTTTATACTTTGAAATATGCAAAATCGTGTTAATTTTTGTAAGATGCACAAAGGAGTCCTTGGAAGGTGACGCTGTTCTTCCTCGTTAGTAAAATAGCATCGTGTCAGTAACTACGGTCGACACTTCTCTTGTGCTTCTACTGCACGGACCAGAATCTCTTGTGTAATGACAACTTTTCACGTTTAGAAATAAGGCCCAGTTTTAGTAAGCACAAATATGATGGTCTTTAGTGAAAGAACGAGCTCGGCGTATTGACTCGACACTGACGTCCGGCTTCTTCACCGATCCAAGCACCTTTCGAGATGGCACACGAAGCGCGCATCATCGATTCGTGCTGTCGCGGCCCGGCCGTCTCTCATCAACTGCCTGTGCCTTGTGCTAACCACGTCCTGCCATCGTTCATCCCCGGTTTTTCGTTTTCTCTGCAGTACTTACAGACCTCCTCTGCAGCAGAAAGCGTTGTTGTTGTTGTAGGGAGATTCATTTTAAATGTTGTGCTTTACTTACTCCTTATTTCTTTGTGCATCGACAAGATGTCATTATTCAGTACCGTCTGCGCCATCTTTCGGCTCACTGATTGTCGATGAAGTTCTCAGGAACTATTTTGCATTGTTACCTTCCGTTCTCTTACGTAATCACTTCATCATTGCTTATTTTCGTTTGCTTACTATTAAACCCATCACACACTTCTGTTAAAGGTATCTATGATGTTGTCCTTCTACTGCCTATTTTAATTTTCATGGCAAGGTATGATGTAAAGTGCAACCACAATGATGCTAAGATATTCGCAAAACTTGGGTCACGGGTCAGATCGAACTATGATCGGACCATGATTACCCTATCTGGCCCGGGGCCCATGTTTTGCGAATATCTCAGCATCGTTGTGGCAGTATCGATAATCTTATGCGATTTAGTATACTGGCTGTTTCCATTGTGCGAGCACCGTGCTTCCCCGGTAGTGTCGGTCTCCAGGGGTTTTTTTTTTGACTTAAGCTTTATTTATTTTCGCAGCATTTATATCGATACGGACTTTGAGAATGGCAGATATGATTTAGAAGCAAAGCGCAAATGTAGTTAGTGAGGAGCAATCTTTGGTAGTCATGCAAGATAATGACTGTCTTTGGAAACTCAATGTTAACTTTTGTTCACTCCCATTACAGTTTTTCACCGCGTGGTATTTTGTGTGGTACAACCACAGTAATGGTGAGAAATTTCCAAGATTCTGGATTCCAGGTGTCTGCGATCATGAACGAACGCACTATTACCCTTTCCGCGGTTTAACGCGTTCACCACACACCATGCGGGTATTTTGTTTCGCTTTGCTCTGAGCTAGTTTTCTATTCACCACTGTCTTTGGAAACATTAAAATGTTTTGCATCGTTCTCCACTGTGATTGTAGACTTCGTTGAATTCTGGTCTGCGTTGTTTGTTCGTCGTTTCATGTTAATTAAGCTACTGTAGTCCATTTATTGGAAAATGTGATACTTTAGAGTTTTCTGCTACGTAGTCGAGCCTTCGTCTGCTGAATTCCTTCTTGTGAAGCACATTGAGGGTCTTAGTTATACAATATGGTGAGTGTAGCTTTCCAATTCAGGCATCTCATCACCCAGACACGCGAGTTCAAAATGCCATCGACTGTTGTTTGTCTGTAGTAAACTGTGTGAAGAGATCTGGGGCAGACCTTCGCTTGGTTGACCTCGGGATTCCAGGTAACCACAAGAGAAATCAGCAAAACTCCGAAAGTGGAAATTATGCTGGGGCCCGCACAACTAGTGAAGACGGGCCATCCAAAGTATCCGAGTGAGTAAACTGTGTGAAGACTAACTGTCAATGAAATTTCAAGGTAGTTTTTGAAAGGCAGTAATAAGGGTAGTAACAACAGTAATAATAACAATAATAATAATAGTACCTTAATGGGCGCGTGTAGCGCAGTGGTCGGAGGTGCAACAACACGCGCCCCAGGCTCACCAATCCTTCCTTCCCGCCAGGGTCAGTAAATTGGTACCAGATCTGTCTGGGAACATAGCATCACTGACTCGATACATCCTAGGCCACCGAGATTCATTGTAAAGGCCAGACATGCATGCAGTAACCTCTAACGATGCTTAATGAAGTCGAATGCATAGCGTATCTCTCAGGGATTGGTCAACGCCGAGAGCTTTATCCTTCAGCTTTTCTTTATTTAATGAAAATTCCATAATCATTTTTTGTATAGTATCTATTCTGAATTTTCGAAAGCATTCTGGTTATGATAGTCTTGTAAGATGGTGGAGATTCATTTCAGGGCGCGGAAAGTTCACTGCCGGTGGAGATGTGCAGCAATTGTAAGTACCACTTCTCTTGTTTTACGTCGTGTAATTTAATATTATTCCTTTGTAGAAGAGTGGAGGCTTATTAGCTTTAATTATTCTGAACAAATTAAGGATATCATTTCTGTTTCTTGTTTTTGTAACATCAGTTTACATGTAAAGGTTGGAATTATGCCGATCTACTGCACACATTCTCTCAGGTTTAATTCTTCATGGACTAATGGGATTTCCTATTTCTTTTGCGAAGCCGGCATAGTCTTTAGGGGCACGTATCGGTTTGGTGGTTTCCTTGGCTTCTGCTTGACTTAACCTGAAATCACTGACGGGTCTTGTCCAGTAGTCGTCGCTGAAACACATTCAACCCCGACCTCACCTCAGTTGCAACATCTTCGCATATGGGCAGAATCTCTGACGGGTGATTGCTGATGGCAGCGTTGGGTGGAAAACTAGCTGAGAGAGACGCAAAGCAAGGCCCTTAGTGGTGCAGTACGTAATACGCGAGCTCCCGGAAAAGGTAACCATAGTCGTATCTGGCCCGGGGGTCCAAGTTTTGCAAATATCTCAGCATCGGTGTAGAATCGCTGATATTCAGTCGTTGAAATAAGTCTTAACTGCAGACTAACTATCTCCTTTGCTTGGAAATTACTAGCCTTGCCATGTGGTTTTGTTTGGGAACGCCTACCATGCATTACTCGAACTTGCATAGTATCATAATGGAAGTAAGAACACTACATTCGTTGCAGTTATCTGGGACACCTATGTTCTTCTTCGCCAATTCCTTTACCCGTTTTAAGATTTGGTAAATGGCTGTTTTCCTAAACCCTTGAGCTAAGCAGTACCATAGTGCTGGTTTTTGAGTTCCGATATGCGTAGGCGGATCGTTTAGAGACTTTGGTCTTTGTACATCCGCCGTTATCAAATCCACTTCTCGTCACCGTTTCCTTCCATTTAAGCTGAAGGTCGTTTTCAATACCGAAATAGCGTTCTTTCCGCTTGGTGATGTTCAAGGCTATGGATGTTATGTTATAGGAGAAGCGAAGGTTGTCGATTGTCTCACTCCTGTGTTATTCAATTCTAGTTTCCGCTTGAAATTCTCTTTAGTGGCTCCGAAGAATTTTGGCCATATGGTGTCGCCTTATCGAATCCCCCTTTTCATGTCGATGGTGGGATCATTGTATTCTGGAGTTAAAGTTGTCTCATCCATGAAGAATATTATGCACTGAATTGGGGCGTCCTGTTTGCTCAAGGTTTAGATAACCTCATCGTCAACAGGATCATTGTCTTGCTATAACTAAATGTGGCATAACAAAATCTTTTGCGCTTGCGATACTTTAGTGGATTTGGCAACTTTGTGAATACAATACGTACTGGTGAACCTACTTCGAAGTCTTGTTGGCAGTTCTTCGTCTGCTGTTAAACCTATTACTGTAGTCTTGAAGTCTGTTCATCTGTCTCTCTGTTTCTTTAAAATATTGCACTTTTATTATTTTTTTCCATTCATAAACGTACACGAGGTTTTTTTATTTTTTATGAGACCTAACTTTCGCATCTATTGTTCGGATCCCAGCATTTCTTATATTCGATTCGTTTCCTCGCATCCATCATCCATTAAGGTCTTCCCACTTTTACGTGTGGCTTTGATGCTACTTGAGGATTTGCATTTTATCCTAAATGTCGTAGAATACTGGTCGAGTCGATTATCCCTGGAGTCCTGAAATAGTCGGGCTAAAGCGTCCCTATAGGCCAACAGGATTGCAGAGATTTTTTTTCTGTACAAGTCAGGTACCAATTTCCTGATTCCGGAGGAATGAGAGGCTTAGTTAAACTGGGGCGTTATTGAACCAGCAGCACCGTGCTCGTGATGATCGGCATCACTACTAATATGTTCTCCGCTCCTTCATACGTGGCGTTATTGTAAAGAACTTCTTATCGTGGCTAATGTTTCAGTGCCTTATCCTTCTTCAGAAGCGCAGTAGTTTGAGCCAAGTCTCGTCTCCATAAGTGCGCCTTCATTGATTGATACTATTACTTGATTTTTGATAGTTGAATGATCCATCCTCACTGATTGTGCGGACTCCAGCATAACCTCCGTTTTTCCGAGATTTGCTGGCTAAGCCATTGTGGTTCCCTGGAATCCCGAGGCCAACCCAGCAAAGCCTGCCCCAGGTCTTCACCACCACAGGCAGTCGCCGCTCTTGTGGATGAAACGGAGATTTGCCACCATGCGACTTGGATACCGCGACGATGATGGATCCTGGTATTGGTTTACTCTAAGCTAGGCTTTCTAATGGAAACGCCGGAGTCCTTCTCAGCTTGGGAGGCCCTGCCAAGGGATGAGTCTAGTGTACATCGCAGCCCTACACCCAAGAACTCCTAGCCACGATGAGGCGGTAAACGATTGGGAGGATTGGTACTATTATCACTAATAAATATTGGTGAGCGGTGAACACAATACCGGCATATAAGCAAGGTTGCTTGTTCGTTCCCGCCCTATGCTAATGAGGCACCCTCTTCTGAGTTTTAGAAAAACCTCCATACTAACAACGAAGGCCGGCGTCATCTTGTGGTATGGACTGCCCAGCGCTCTATCACAATCCTCCAGAGATTTCAGGGAGAATCTACTCAGCATTCAGTGACGGGAAGAAGGCAGTGTTTTCAACGGCAGTGATAACACACTCAAATCCCCTACTTTTCGAACGTGACAGATGTGAGACAAGGAATCAAATGAAAGAAGTACTGGGATTCAAAAAATAAAATAACGTTTTTTGTTTATTGTTGAGTGAAAATAAATAGCCAAGAGGAAGATGTGTTTAATGCATTTATGTTCAATCTACGCACCCTCAGCATTGAAAATAGGGCCATGTGGTGGTAAACGTGTGAATTAACTGTGTGGTTCTTTTGTGAAACAGTGGTGTAGGACAGCATTATTGTTCGGTTGTGTACTCACTTTAAACCAATCTATGGTTTTCTATTCTTAAGCGAGGACAACCGTGAAGAAAACTATAAGGACAGTCGCTACTTCTTGAGCCGCTAAAATAGCTGTTATTATCTCATCGATTAGTACTGTTTTACCTAGTCACTGTGATTCACATGTGGCAAAATCCAAAATATTGTTCTCATTGAAACCACTTCTTATTTACTGCCTATTCTTATTTCATGACAGGGCATGATGTGAACTACTACAATGGTGCTGAGATATTTGCAGAACTTCGGACCGCAGGTGTTTGCGGCGGAGATCGAGCGTCGTATTGCCCTTTCTGGGGGGTAACGTGTTCACCATCACATCATGCGTGTCCGTTGATGAATACGTTAGTCCCCGAAAAGGGTAATAGCGAGGTTCGATCCCCTCCACAGGCACCTGCAGTCCTTAGTTTTACAAATATCTCAGCATCATTGTAGTTGTTTTCAGTATTTGTAATCTTTGTAACTATTTTCCAATGGTCTTTACACAGCTTTCAGTTGACGCGTATGAGCTTCGACGACTTGCACGTCGTTTCAAGAAACTAGATATTGATGGGTCCGGTTCCCTATCAGTAGAGGTAAGTGTGACTGTTAAAGAGTACCACTATCATTGCGCGTTGATGGTACTCGTATTTAAATAAGTAAAGTATTTGAGAGACTGTGGAGATGACATTCATATAGAAAAGGATTTAAGTTTCTTCTTCTTTTTTCAACGTCATCAGCGATTTGTTCGGAAGCATCGTTGCATTGTGTTGGATAGAATCCCACTTGTTGAACCGCTTTGCTGTTCGAAATATGAGCCTCTGTCTAAAAAGAAAATTGGCGCCAAAAAATCAGAGTTTACTTGTGGTATAAATAGAATGCTCATATCTCGTTGGAAAGTTATCTATCTCTAGATTTTGATTGTTCTCAGTTGTGAGAAGGGCGCATGTGCTGCAGTGGTCGGAAGCGCCCTGCAATACACATGAGATCGATCCACGCGCCACTGGCCCACCAAGCCCTCCATCCCTCCGGGGTCGGCAAATCGGTACCAGACTTATCTGAAAAGATAGCAGCGCTGGGTCGATAATCGGTAGGCCACCGTAAGTCGTTGTAAAGACCATACATGCATTCAATCACCTCCAAACGATGCTTAATGTAGATCAACGTCGAGAGCTTTATCTCTCATCGTTTAGTTGTAAGTAGTGCTCGCAGCGAGCTTAAGTATGCTTGTTTGAAGTTGAGCTAACTTTTTACAAGCGTATGAGTAGAGTATGAGTCATATCGTTTATGTCGTGTCAATTTCTTTTTAGCTTAGTGCTTAACAGGCCGACTGTCAGTTGAATTATTGTCAACTATGAAGTGGCCACTTTATGCTCTCATCTTTTGTTAATATTAACTAAACGCACTCCTCTCTTCATTTCATCCGTATATTACAGTCAGTGTAAGTTTTGCACGTGGTATTGCAGGAATTTATGTCGCTACCAGAACTGCAGCAGAATCCTCTTGTTCAAAGAGTGATCGATATATTCGATGAAGACGGGAATGGAGAGGTTGATTTTCGGGGTGTGTTGTTCGGCACATCTACAATTTTTTCATCGTTTTTGTAGCAGCATTCACAATTTCCGAATTTTGCTCCAGTATTTGCATTTTTAGCGGCTATATAAATGCAGTAATTACGCTTGTTTCCAGAATTTATACAAGGTATTTCGCAGTTCAGCGTGAAAGGGGACAAAAACGTCAAGCTTAAATGTCAGGTTTAAACCAATTATTTTGTGTTCATAAGTGGCGCTTAAGAAATGGAGGTTGCAGTTTTGTTTTCAGTTGCATTTCGCATTTACGATATTGATCGGGATGGTTATATATCTAATGGTGAATTGTTTCAGGTAAATATGTATTCTAGTCGTATTCCTTTTGAAATGTTTGAATTCTTCTCCCTTCACTGCTCGATGATTTTTAAGCATGGGCTAAAACAAATATTAGTACTAAGTTGGGTTCAGTGCCGATGTGGACTCCCTAGATCAGTCCCGGTGACGGGTGGTCGCTTCTGGCACTGGTAGGTAGAAAACTCGCTGAGGGAAACGCAGAGTAAAGCCTTCGTGGCACAATGTGTAATGCACGAGCCCCTGAAAATGAAATCTTGGTTCGATGTGGCCCGGGATCCAAGTTTTGCGAATATCTCAGAATCGTTGTGGTTGTATTTCACAAATGTTAGTTTTAAATTAAGGTCCTGAAAATGATGGTTGGAAATAATCTCAAGGATTCCCAATTACAACAAATCGTCGATAAAACTATTCTTTTTCATGATAAGGATGGCGATGGGAGAATATCGTTTCAGGAGTTTTGTGATGTACGTTTTGTCTTTTTTCATGTCTATCTGTTAGTGCAGTTATTGATATACATATGATAAGATCATGGGGCATGTGATATGGCCGTTGGTGCTTTTAGAGTTGTCAGTATAGTCCGTATGACACATGTGGTGTGGTCCATGTCGCACTCTTTTATCTGCTGTTCGCTTTTGGCTTTTGTTATGCTATAATAATGTTTTTGTCTACTAACTATCAATTATTGATGTGAGTTGATGAGATGAGAGTACCATTCTGCGACACTTCTGTTTGACTTTCGATCTAAACATGTTAACAGCAAACATTCTAGTATTCACCATCATATTACTGGAAGTCGCAAACCTTCTTTAGGCAAAATTTGGTTTTAACATCGTACAGTCAAAAAGTCCGTTTATTTGATCGAGAGGGTCTATTAAATGGTTGAGATATCCTGTTTGGTTTACTTTCCACAAAATTTTTCCTTGTTTCCGTTCTGACTAAGTCTGTACCGAAGCGTTTTCATTTTTTTTTTTTTTGCTTTTGGCGAAAGTCTCACTATTACCTGGTGTTTTTTGCCATATATTCGAAGTCGATTTAGATTTCTGTTTTTTCGAAATTCTAGTTTCCTACTTACTTGGATACGTCTGCGGCCTGTCCTCACCGTTTGTGCGGGCCGCAGCATATTCTCCATTTTTGAGAGTTTTACTGGTCTAGGGACTGTGTTTTCATGGAGTCCCGAGGTCGGCATGGCCAAAGTCTGGCACAGGTCGTTACCACTACAGGCAGTCGGCGCCCTTGTGAATCAGGGAAAGATTTGCCACCATGCGACATGATTGATGGTGAATCCTAGGACGGTGATGAATCCTGATATTGGTTTGCTCTTAGCTGAGCTTCCAGATGAAAACGCCAGATTCCTTCTCAGCTTTAGAGACCTTGCAGGAGGAATTAATCCCTTCGTTGTACATCGCAACCCGATACCCGAAAACAGCTCCCTACCACGATGAGGCGGTAAACCGTTGGGAGAGTTCGTAGCTCTATAAAATATCGAGGTTCTTTTTCGGACAGGTATGTTGATATCCACTTTAACAATCAATGGAACTTGAGTTGTATGAGTAACTTTCCATTATATTCCTTGGTTTGTTTATCTTTAATCTTATCTCATCATGGCTACAACTTTTATCCCAAGAATGTCGACACTTTTGTCTGCTGACGTCGACCTCTAGAAGTCTAGTATGACGTGTAGCATTTGCGAAATAGATCAAGAAATTTCGTCTATAATGTTCCCCTTCATCCCAAAACGATTGAATGTATATTTTTTCTTCGATTTTGTAACAGGTAATGGTTATTGTGAAATATCTGCGCGAAGATGTGATCTGAGTTAGCATAGTCCGCTTTAGGTTGTCGAGCATACCGAAGTGCACAAGAAGATGGTGCTGGAGAACATCTGACGTGACCTAATGATAGGTTTATTTTTGGTGTGACATGATATGCTCGAGCTGAATCCTACCTTTCCCTTGCTGTTTTCTGACGAATTCACACTACTTCGTTGTAAACAATATGTGCTCTATGTACCAGAATCACCAAATGTTCACAAACTTTCCTTGTATTTATTGGTCATATGTTGATGGGGGTTTAGTAAAATAAGTCTATAAGTAAATCTTTCTGAGGTATATTTAGTAAGGGGGAGGTAGTGGGAGGAGGAAGGATGGAGATGATGCAGTGAGATGAAAAGAAATAGTTGCACAAGAAAGAAATTGGCCACCTTTTTTGGAAAAGAACGTTCCGTAATTCACATTTTTACTTACTTTCTCTTCATAACTCTAGTATAGCCTAATTTTAAGTATTTACTTCTTCACATACTTTTAAATTCTAGTTGATTTTACGAAATGAAATGGTTATTGAACCATACTCAGAGCTACATGGTTCTACATGAAACACATGTGATCAACAGCCATTTTCTCGTTTACCGATTGTATAAAATGGCGTATTCGTTATGTTCAACGTTCGGTCGTACGAGAAAAGAGATGAATACCACAGGGTTTGGTTTTACTTCCATCACCCTTTGTCCAGCACATGTTTCGTAAACGAACGGAAAAAGATCGAGTTTTCGTTAAGAAGTAATTACTGCCAGTGTTCTAGAAGTAGATATAGTACTTGTAGTAGTTAAAATCCAGAGGTTCACTAGCGATTTCATGCTTTTTAACTATGTGTTTCATCATTTATTGCAATAAAAATGTATGAGCAGTGCTTAGTTTTGGCTTCACAGTGCTAGTGTTTGTGTTTATTCGTTAACAAAAGATTGTCAGTCAATCCTGCTTTCTTAGTATTCTTGACCTTAGGGGTGTAGTGTGATACATATGTGCGCATCTTTTTAGTAAATCATTATTGTGTGGATAAGTTCTATAATGGTGGCATGATTTCTACAAATGATTGATCACCGCATTTTCCACTTTAAGCTTAGATTTGTTTGCAGAGGGTAAGTACGGTGATTGACGTAATTATTTAAGCCGATAATGCTAACTGCTCAATGTTAACTTTCTGTTTATTATTTTTACGACAGGATATTATGTGTGATTAAGAATACAATAATGCTGAAATATTTCCAAAACTGCGGGCCGCAGGTGTCTACGGTGGGGACCGAACGCGCTATTACCCTTTCCGGAAGCTAATGCGTCTACCACCACACCATGTGGATCCTTCGTTTGGCCTTTCTGTCAGCTAGTTTTCTATCTACCGCAGACATCTGAAGTCCAAAGTTTTGCAAATATCTCAACATCATTGTGTTGCATCATACATAATACCTTGTCGTGAAAATAAGTGTAATAGGCAGTATATAGAAAGTTGATGTTGTGATTTCGAGTACAGCCTCAGCTTAACTGGGTTCATCGCCGATTTGTGCTCCCCAGACCCCAGACCAATTCGGTTTACTGGTAATTGTTGATGGTACTATTAGATAAAAAACTAGCTAAGAGACAGCCCAAACGAAGAACCCGCATGGTGTGGTGGTGAACGCGTTAACCCTTGGAAAGGGTAATAGCTCGTTCGTTCCCCACCGCAGGCACCAGCGGTCCGGAGTTTTGTAAAAGTCTCAGCATCATTGTGGTTCCCAACTATTCAGTCGTCGGAAATGATTGTCGTATGTGTAATATACTTTCTTTTTGAAGCTGATTGTACTGATCAGAAGAACATTGGCAAAAAGATAGGTTAGATATTTGATTTTTAGTGTTATACTGAATAAGCAAAGCCAGAATTACTTATTCGGCTCCTAAGGGTAGGAAATTTTGTGGGCAAATATGTTTTGAATAATGAGTCACATGCAGGAAAACTTGCAGTGAATGTAGCGTATTAGGGTTGCAAATCTCTAAATGTAGCTAGCAGACCGTGGTTTACAAAATCGAAACGAATAAAGCAAGTTCTGTAAGCATTGCTTCTCACTGCATTATCGTGAAAGGTTTGACTGTATGGAATACTTTACAAACGCCGAAGGAAATCCAGGGCATCTATGAGGAACAAATTTTTGGTACCAAAAGGGAAATATCGATATCAACTATTGGTTTCCTACCAAAAAGGTGCACAGCTAACTGGTAACGACGGCTGACAAACGTCTCTTCCAAATAGCCTTCTTCTGCATAGTTTACGTATTTGCCTCCTTCCTTGCTTTTGAATTCAACGCTTTCAATATTGGCTGTTAGCGGCAATCTTGAAGGAAATTTGCAGGTGGTAGGGACGTTGGATGTCCATGAGAAGATGGTCGTAAAACCTTAACATCAGCGGCGCACTTCAGTGGTTCGCCATCTCCCAGCGTTCCGTTGTACAATGTTGTTAGTTGTTTAAAGTTTTGTGGATTTGTGTTGTTTACTTGAGTTTTTTGAATTGTATTACTTTTACACGTATTCTGCGCTAGTCATAATTCTGACATGGTCCATTTATACACTAACCGGCTACAAATGTCGGAAAATATTCTATAAAGCTTTTAAATGCCGTCTTTGCACTTCTTGATGGTACAGTGGGATGTCCACTTTGGAGGGCACAAATCGGCATTGTTAAGCTGAAGCTGTAGTCGAGATCAAAACTGGCTGAGTGAAAGGCAAGGTAAGGGTCTTGCTGGTGCAATGGATAACACGTGAACTCTCGGAAAGGTTAATTCCCAGTTTGAAGCTCCCTAGTTCTCATATCTCAGCATCGCTTTGGTTTATTCTACGTGAAGTGGTTAGTGGTTAAAATTAGTGGTTAAAAATTGCTTGTAGGTGCTGAATCATATCGGTGGTACAGAAATTAAGTATCGCATCGTTTTCGATTGAATGCATATCGAGTGTGAAGCGATAGGATTTCTTGTGATACCGTCGATAAACAAATCGAAGTTTATCGGAAGACGTGGACGGAGATGGTGATGATGGTGCAGCCGGTGAGTTGGATGCACAGAGCCATTTATGAATTGATTATGGCTGAAATCTGGGAACTTAGAATAGAAAGCGATAAAAATGGATAAAAGAAGGATGGGTCATTTGAACCGACAACTGTTGAAGAGATGAAGGGATTGATTGATCTGTGTCTTCAGATGGGAATTATTAAACTACCACGACTTATGGATTGCTGCAGCAGAATATTGGATGTCATCCTCTAGCATCCATTGTAAAGACAAGGTGCAAATTTGAAAGAGTGCCGAGTCATCTTTGCTTGGTGAGTACAGTGTATGTCGGACTAGATAAGTTGTTCAAGAACAGTCCCGTTATTAATGCGCCGTTTCTTTGTTCAGCCATCGCGAGGTTGTTATGCATCATACATTTACTTCCACAGAAAAACACAATACAATGCAACAGTAGCTGACGTTTCGGCAGTATCGCCTTCTTCAGAAGCTGGAGGAGCATACCGATATACAATGTACTAGGCCGAACACTTCAAAATAACACTTACAAAAAGATGAAAAACTCTATGGTAATTACATGATCAACAGTTTCTCGAAAAACTGAACGCTTTTTCTTGACTTCCAATGAGAAAGGTTAAAGCAGTTGATTATAGTCGCATATGGCTGAACCACTCCGCATCAGAAACTGATGCGAACATATAGGGACAGGTCGCGTGT